AACGGTCAGGGCCTTTCCTGCCCTCGAAGGAGGGAGAAGCGGCAGGAGGGAACCGGTCTCCGCGGACGGGAAAGATTCACACGCGCTGGTCCGCTACCCTCGCCCCGAGGTGCCGTGTTCGGGGGAATAAACCTCAAGAAGCCAGTGGATTCCAGATCTAGGAAGGTTCCCACAGGTTTCCTAGCGCTTAGGACCCCCCCAAAGGAATAGAATAGAATAGAATGAAATTGAGAAAGAATGAATAGAATAGAATAGAACACAACAGAATGAAATTAGGAAAGAATATAATAGAATGAAATTAGGAAAGAATGAAGAGAATAGTATAGTATAGAGTAGAGTAGAATAGAATGAAATTGGGAAAGAATGAAATTAAAATAGAATAGAATGAAGTTAGGAAAGAATGAAGTTAGAATAGAATAGAATGAAATTGAGAAAGAATGAATAGAATAGAATAGAACACAACAGAATGAAATTAGGAAAGAATATAATAGAATGAAATTAGGAAAGAATGAAGAGAATAGTATAGTATAGAGTAGAGTAGAATAGAATGAAATTGGGAAAGAATGAAATTAAAATAGAATAGAATGAAGTTAGGAAAGAATGAAGTTAGAATAGAATAGAATGAAATTAGGAAAGAATGAAGTTAGAATAGAATAGAATGAAATTAGGAAAGAATAGAATAGAATGAAATTAGGAAAAAATGAAGTTAGAATAGAATAGTATAGAATAGAATGAAATTAGGAAAGAATGAATAGAATAGAATGAAATTGGGAAAGAATAAAAATAGAATAGAATGAAATTAGGAAAGAATGAATAGAATAGAATAGAATGAAGTTAGGAAATGAATAAAATAGAATGAAATTGGGAAAGAAAGAATAGAATAGAATGAAATTAGAAAACAATGAATACAATAGAATAGAATGAAATTTGGAAAGAATGAATAGAATAGAATGAAATTAGGAAAGAATGAAGTTAGAATAGAACAGAATAGAGTAGAGTAGAATAGAATGAAATTAGGAAAGAATGAATAGAATAGAATAGAATAGAATAGAACAATGAAATTAGGAAAGAATGAATAGAATTAAATTAGGATAGAACAGAACACAACAGAACAGAATGAAATTAGGAAAGAACGAATAGAATAGAATTAAGAGAGTTGGAAGGGTCCTTAGAGGTCTTCTAGTCCAGCCCCCTGCTCAAGCAAGAGAACCTACACTATCCACAGGGTTCACACCACAGGCTAGACTGATAGGAAGCTGGGTAAATTATGCGTTCCGGGTGTCTGCAACAATACAGGTAAGTCCTTGACTTACAGCAATTCATTTAGTGACTGTTCAAAGTTACAAAATCAAGGACTACCTGTACTCTTGTGACCTTGTTGGGACTCAGTGGCCTTTTCATTTCAGAAAACAAATCAGAATAACTGAATCAGAAGGGACCTTGGAGGTCTTCTAGTCCAACCCGCTGTTCAAGCAGGAGACCCTACTATACCATTTCAGACAAATGGCTGAATTTCTCCACACCACCAGGACTTGCTGCAGGTAGTGCTCAATTTACAATGGTTTGTTTAGTCACGGTTCAAAGTTACAGCAGCACTGAAAAAAAGTACGACTTTTGAAGCATCCCCATTGTACGAACCTTTCTTGCCACAGTTCAGTCAACTGGCGGGAGGTATTCTGGCAGTTGAAGTCCACACATCTTAAAAGTGGCCAAGGTGCATGGCTGGTTGGGGGAATTCTGGGAGTTGAAGTCCATACAGCTTAAAGTTGCTGAGGCTGAGAAACACTGCACAAAGGTGTCCTCATACCAGCTGCTTATGACTCCAAATAGTTTTTGATACTCCTCCTGAATTCTTGTAACGCCCTTTGCGATCTTTGACTTCAGGCATTCACGCTGTACTTCCCACCCTCCAAAATTATCTCCTCCTCCTCCTCCTCCTCCTCCTCCTCCTCCTCAATGTTATATTTATTTAGCTGGCAGGGTTCAATCCCCTGCCAGGTACAGCAGCTGCAACCCAGCTTCTGACTAGCAATTTCCCCCAAGTGAGCAGGGCAGATCAAGGCAGCCCTGGGTAGGAGGGTGTTCTTGGGGAGACTCAAAAATGTAAGAATCTCCCCCCCCCCTACTTCAAAACCCAAAAAGGTTTTGCCTCTGCCACTTCTGGACACTCTCTAAGATCTCTGTTCTTCACTTTGGCGGATTGTTTTGCACACAAGCAGCTGGTCAGGAAAAGGGAATGCTGTATCGGCATTTCGCATCTGCGTTTGGCCCCAGATTTGAGACGGCTTCTCAAATAACACAATCTCTCAGCAGAACGGGAGATGGTGTTTTTTTTTTTTTAAGTGGGGCAGTTCATGTGAGCCAGGACGGGCATCTTTTGGTCCTGTTCACACATACAATCATCCAAGTGCCAGGAATGCAGAATGCGTGGGCTCTCTTAACCCAAGTATTTTGATCTCTGGACCCTTTTTGCCTTCTTAAAAACCACTGAGGACCCCAAAGAGTTTATGAATGATAGGCTAGGGGATAGGAGATAGGAGAGGACAGGAGAGGAGAGGATAGTCAATAGGGGAAGCCAGATTCACAACCATGCTACTAATTTAACAATGACAGTGATTCATTTGACAACTGTGGCAAGACAGTTCATTAAATTGGGCAAAATTCAATTAAAAAACGTCTCGCGTAGCTAGAAAAATGTTGGGCTGCTTTATAGTCATAAGTTAGGACTACCTTTAAATTTAATAGATGATGGATGGATGGATGGATGGATGGGGGAGAGAGATGGATGGATATATGGATGGATGGATGATTAGATGAATAGAGAGAGATGAATAGTTCATGGATGAATATGTCTGTCTATCTATCTGTCTATCTATCTATCTATCTATCTATCTATCTATCTATATCTATCTATCTATCATCTATCTATCATCTATCTATTTAGAGATATGAATGGAGGGAAGGAGGGAGAGAGAGAAGTGGCGCAGTGGTTAAATGCAGCACTGCAGGCTACTTCAGCTGACTGCAATTCTGCAGTTCGGCTGTTCAAATCTCACCGGCTCCAGGTTGACTCAGCCTTCCATCCTTCCGAGGTGGGTAAAATGAGGACCCGGATTGTTGTTGGGGGCAATATGCTGACTCTGTAAACCGCTTAGAGAGGGCTGAAAGCCCTATGAAGCGGTATATAAGTCTAACTGCTATTGCTAACTGCTATTGCTATTTTCCCAAAGAAAGAATCTCAACCTTTTCACCTGTGAGAAGTCCTGCTGGGTTTTATTTTGGGGGGGGGGGGTGATAGATTCATTGCACCCGCTCTCGTACTGTGCAAACTTACTGGGGCTTCATTGATTCTCCTGGCTCCTGAGATTCTATTGCAGAAGCCCCTTTGCCAAAAAACGGGGCCTCTTTAGGAACTCCCCCTCTCTGGCCGCTGTGCTGATTCCTCCCAACCCCACCCTGGCAGAGCCTCGGGGTTACTGAGGACTCCCTCAGCGGGGCACCAAATGGGAGCCTCTTCCCGTCCTTTGTGATGGCTGAGAAGACAGAAGTAATGGACGCGGAGTGTTTGCACAACTGTGCAAACAAAGGCTCCCCCCGGCTTTGCTCCTGTCTCCCGTCTGCTGAGTGTTCCCGAAAGAAGACTCTGGGCAAAGGAACAATGACTCAATCCCAGGCTGTGTTAAGTCAACGGGCCAAAACTAACCCCGGTTAACAAAAAGCGAACTGGACCAAAATTCCAGAGGATTACCCGGATAGAATTCCTTTGCAAGGATACATCGACCATTC